TTGTGCAAGAATGACCTAGGCTTGTGGGAGCTTGTACAAGGACTTTTTTCCTTGTAGCATTTCTTATTTTGCTGATGCAGTGAAGGACAACCACCAGAGGACTTCTTGAGGCTGGGACAATAGATTTGATGAATTCTAGAGACAGTGGTCCAATGGGTACCAGTCTTATCATAGATTTGGTGGGAAGAATGACCAGAATTGAGTAGAGCAATAATGTGTTCATGTTGAGCTACAGAGAGGCTGGGCATGGTTACAATGGGGGGGGAATGGTAGCTAAGGGTCCCCTATATATAATAAATTGCCCTGGTCATGTGACCAAACCTTAAATAAGGTTTGATCATGTGATCTGTCACCACAGCTTATCAGCCACATAACTGTAGCTTTGATATCCATTCAAAGATTGATGATTTACTACCTTATTAGTGAGTCTTATGTAATGATATGGGTATCATCAGAAAGCCAAGATGTCTGGCTACCTGACTATAGTCTTGTCTTTGTTTGATCTAGTCTAGTTCACCTGCTACCAGCCAAACAAGTCAAATTCTCCAAGTTGAGCTACAGTTTTGTGGGTCACTGTACCTATGGCACACTGGTGTGCACTGGGGCACAGAGTGGCCAGGGATAGCACAGGGGTGTGCAGGGGCATAACATAGGGCCATGTCATTTAGACTAGTTGACATGCAGAGCTGGAGAGGCTCAGGAGAAGATGACTTCACTAGCTCATCTAGAACTCTACAATTGCCTCACAGAGTTCAACTTACAGATTTAATAGATAGTGACAAGGAATTTGGTCCTATGCCCCTTGCCTTGACCCCAAAGGCCAAGAAGACTAAGGCAGCAGAGAGTTCCTATGATAGAAGTAGGATTACCTATGATTCATCAGATGATGACTCTAGGACTATTATACTAGAAGACATATTGACAAGCAAGAGCAAGCAGGAACATAACATAGACTTACAGCATGAATCTATCTTTCTCCTCAACATTCCAAGCAAATGCTCAAATGTAACAAGCAAATGGAGATAGGATAATGATCTCAATAGAACTCCACTTCCAAAATAGCATACAGCCGGTCTCTTGCCTGTGTCACTCTGAGGAGACCTGCTGTATGCTATTTTGGAAGTGGAGTTCCTATAGGATGAGCTTTAGTTCAGTTTTCGACACCAATATTATGATAAGTCTAGTATTGTCCCTAAAAAGTAAATTAAAAGTATATATGAGCTTTAGATCAGCTAATAAAGGTTGGAAACTGGATGCATAGGTGCAACATAAAAAAGGTCTTGCCCGGATTCGAACCGGGGTTAACGGAAATTCCAAACATCAGAATCCGTTGTGATAACCGCTACACTACAAAACCGAAGGGTTATCTGTAAAATACTATGTAAATATTATAGAGGTAAGAATTATAGTTAAGATCCCACAAACCCGGCAAATCTTCGGAGACGAAATTGGGTATGGGATAGGATAGAGATGCCAAAGTAACTCGCACTCGTTAGAATCTCCCAACCGACAAAGAAATAGTTTATCCTAGCGGTATCTGTGCGAGCGTGATCTGTTCAGTATACATATGCGCTTCTATATACATATGGTAGATCCATTCCCAGTCGAGAAATGCAACAACTATAATATTAAAAGTCCCTATGGAGATTTTCAACGC